GGAAGTCAGCACAACTTGACCAAGGCGAAGTCACAGAAGCTTCCTAGACACAACCAAACACCTTGAAAGACCAAGGTACTGGGGCTGAGGGCTGGGGACCATGGTCTCAGGGGACATCTAGGTCAATCAGCATAACATAGTTCATGAAGAAAATGTTCTACATCCTACTTGGTGAGTAGCATCTGGGGTCTTAAAAGCTTGCGAGCGGCCATCTAAGATACACCTACTGGTCCCATCCCATCCAGAGTAAACGAGAATGAAGAAAACCAAAGACACAAGGAAAATATTAGCCAAAGGGCTAAAGGACCATATGAACCACAGCCTCCACCAGCACGAGCCCAGAAGAAGCAGATGGTGCCTGACTAACATCACCAACCACTCTGACAAGGATCACAATACAGCGTCCGGGACAGAGCGGGAGAAAAATGTAGAACAAAACTCAAATTCACAAAAAAAAGACCAGACTTACTGGACGCTCACTGCTGCAGGCACTGTCAGGCTGCTGGAGCTGAAGCCTTCATCTCCTTTCCAGTTTCTGACTCTCCAAGCCTGCTGTGGATTTGAAGCCTCCTGGCTTGCTCCCTTGCCAGCCCATATCTCCCCCACTGTCTAGCTGTCCTAGACCGGTGGCAGCCATCAAGTACTTCCTCTGGACCCACAGGGTGCGTCCAGCACTCAGGAGTGGGGAGTTAGGATAAAGCATCTGAGTAGTTTTGAGAGCCTTACACAGGCTTCTTAGAGACTTGTTTCTGGAAACCAGTGTCTGCCTTCACAGCCCTGCTAGCTGGGAGAGAAGAGTGGAGTGTGGTGAAGGTAAAGACTCTGCCGTCCATTGAGAGCGGCCACATTAACAAAGCCTCAGTGGAGCTGCTTTGGTTTTGAATTTCTCTGGACTTGTCTCTGTAAAGCTGTAGAAACATTGCTTTCCAACCTTTTGTTTTTGGATCCTCAAAACTCAGAACAGATTCTTCAGAGAGAAAGAACCCAGTGCCACAAGCCAGGCTTCATGGTGTGATGCCTGCAGTTTTCTAGAAATGCAGAGCTTCCAGGTTCATCCCCCACCCGTTAGTGCACACACGTCTTTGCTCGGGTTCTAGGGCAGGGGCTCCTCCCCGGATAGGTTTCAGGAGCATTTGCGAACCCTGAGATTGTGCGCTGAACTGTATGTTCTCTCCAGGAAAGGCTCCAGTGGTTATTACTGGATCCCAAAAACTGTTAACAACTAATCTAGGAGCTACTGCTAAGTAATGAAAGGCCCTGCAAATGATTTACTCCTGTCCTTGTGAGTGGGGAAACTTTTGTTAACCACACTGTTGAGATTTGCATGATGCTTAAGAGAACAGAGAAGATTCTGTTGCATAAAAAAAAAAAAAGACCAGACTTACTGGTATGACAGAGACTGGAGGAACCCCTGAGACTACAGCCCCTGGACACCCTGCTAACTCAAAACCGAAGCCACTCCTGAAGTCCTCCTTTCAGCCAAAGATTAGACAGGCCTATAAAACAAACAATAACACATGTGAGGAACGTGCTTCTTAGTTTAATCAAGTATACGAGACCAAATGGGCAACACCTGCCCAAAAGCAAAGACGAGAAGGCAGGAAGGGACAGGACAACTGGACGAATGGACATGGGGAACCCAGCATGGAAAGGGGGAGAGTGAAGACTCATTGAGGGGACTGCAACCAATGTCACAAAACAATTTGTATATAAATTTTTGAATGAGAAACTAATTTGTGCTAGAAACTTTCACCTAAAGCATAAAATTTAAAAAAAAAAATTGAAGCAAAGTGGAAGGACATTCAAGCATTGCCGAAAGTTAAATACATAGTTCCAAGGAGTAAAAACACAAAAGCTGCAGAAGCCACATTTTATAATGTTATATTTAATTACAAACACTAGTGCTGCTGAAGTCCTTGTTGAGACACTTGCCCAAATTATTGCCAAATAATGATGAAAATAACAATTGGAGACAGAGCAAATGACTCTGTCCAACAACACAGTTCATTTTAGAATTACAGACGTGACTGGAAACTTAAAAATGGCAAATACTCAATTTCTGACAAAGTTGATATTATTCACTGCAAACTGAATCCACCAATCTTGTGGAACTTAGCAAATCTTTTGGTATTTATCATATATGACCTAAAAAAATTATTTTCATGAAGACATTGTGTTCTGCCAACCTTTTCCAACTCGTAAAACTGAAGATTTCTCTCCTTCCTCCCTCCCTTCCTTTTCTTCATTCATTTATCTAACTAATGATTACTGAGCACCAAGCGCCAGCCACCATTCCAGGCACTGGGGACACAGCTGTAACAAGAAACAAGATCCCTTCCCTCATGTATCTTACATTCTGGTAGGTGGAAACAGACAATAAATCAGCAGAAAATAAAAATAGCAGGGATAAATGCTACACAGAAAATTGAAATGGGCTAATGTGGTAGAAAGGAGCCCTGGTGGCACAACAGTTAAGCGCTCTGCTGCTAAGAGAAAGATGTGTGCTTTGAACACACACAGTGGCTCTGCGGAAGAAAGACCTGGAGCTCTGCTCGCATAAAGATCATAGCCAAGAAAACCCTATGGGACAGTTTTGCTCTGCCACATGGGGTCGCTATGAGTCAGAATCGACTCAGTAACACCCAACAACAACAATAATGTGGTAGAGTGAATGGAGGCTCTGTAGCCAGGCAAACCCTCTCAGAGGAAATAACATTTAAGCTGAGCTCTGAATGACAAGGAGCCAGCTCTGCAAACATCTGGGGAAAGAACATTCCAGGCAGAGGGAGCAGCTAGAACAGTGGTTCTCAATAGGAAGGAATGAAGTCGCTTTCTAGGGGGCATTTTGGAAATTGGGGGCACTCTACTGGCATTTGGAGCCCTGGTGGCACAGTGGTTAAGAGCTACAGCGAGTTACAGCTACTAACCAAACGGTCGGCAGTTCAAATCCACCAGCCGCTCCTCGGAAACCCTATGGGGCAGTTCTACTCTGTTCTACTCAACAGGTTTTGGCAACTGGCATTTAATGGGCATGAGCCGGGAATGCTACTACACATCCAGCAATGCCAGTCCTCCCTCCTGCATGGCTTTCAAAGATCCCAGCATTCATGTAGGTGGAAAACCTGTTTATAATGATCTGAGTTGAGAACTTAACTGTGCTTTACTCATAAATGCAAAACATTTTTTGGCACTGTGTTTATGTACACAGAATTTTCCAGGAATGCATGTACCACGTAAACACAAGGAAGATTGTATTTTGTTTTATTAAGAACTTCATCAGTTCTTTACTATTTCAAAAAAAACCCACTGGTGGCAAGACAATGTTGTCACAGAAGACACCACACCCAACGGGAATGCTTCTGAAAGAGACAAAATTGATGCTAGAGAATTTTTTAAATTGGTAATACATGCCCATGGTTTAAAACAACAACAAACAGTACAAAATCGTGCACAATGAAAAGCCAATTTTACTTCCACTGCTGTTCCCAAAAGGGGGCTTGGTGGCGTAATGGTAAAGTGTTCAGCTGCTAACTAAAAGTCCAACAGTTCGAACCTACCAGCCGCTCCTCAGAAGGATGTAGCAGTCTGCTTCTCTGAAGATGACAGCCTTGGAAACCCTATGGGGCATTCTACTCTATCCTATAGGGAAGGTATGAGTCGGAATCAACTCAAAGGCAATGGTTTTTTGGCTGTTCCCAAGTCTCCCAGTTTCCTCCCCCAGGGCGAACATGACGATCATTTTCTTGAGTATCTAGAGGAATGAGCTCATTTTTGTTTGAAAGAAAGAGAGAAAGGAAGGGAGGGAAGGGAAAAAAGAAAACCTCATATAAATGAATATATATTTGTCTGAGCATGAAAATAAAATGCAAGGAACGATGCACACACCCACATCCACACCTTTTAAAAAGAGATGGAGAAATTTGCAATTTTTTAAAACTAATCAAAATCCTTCTTGGATTCTGGTCAAGTCACTCTTGGCCCTTCTTTGCCTCAATTTTCCTCTTAGCTAACAAAACCACTGAAAACATCCCTACTCAAGTTACACTCTACAGTCCTAGAGAACCCGTAACGTAGCCTCCGGTGGATGTTGCCATTAAACCGAACTAGGTCTGAATTCTCATAGTAGCTGTGTGACTTTGAGCAAGTCAGTCTCTCTGTGTCTTGGTTTCCTCTTTTGCAAAATAAAGTCTAATCATAGCTAACGCACATACAGTGCTTGCCTGTACCAGTTATTGTTCACTTAATCCTTAAACAACCCCTATGATGAAGAACCTATTATCTCCACTTTATAGATGAAGAAACTGAGGCACAGAGAGGTTGAGTGACTTATCCAAGACCACACAGCTAGTAAGCTGCAGAGCCAAGATCTAACGCAGGTTCCAAAGTCCAGGCTGTCACCACCACACCTACAGCCTCTCCTAAATAGGACAATAACAATACGTACCTACTAATGACTCCTGTAATGAGACTCATACCTGACAAGTGTCAGATGGGTAGCAGCTGTGGTTGCTATAATTATAGACAGTTTTTTTCCTTCTGCACTGTGAAACGTCCAAGGCTTTTTCACGGGGCACAAAAAAAGAAGTTGGAGGGAAAGGAACACAAGCCAGGAGAGGGAGAGATGGAATGTGGCAAAGGAGAGAAAGCGCAAACAAGAGGAGGGGCAGGGGAGCGCTGAATACTTAGGAAAAGTCTCGCCGGCCAGACCAGGTGAGAACATGGTGACTTTCTCAACTGAAAATCAAAACTCCAGGCTGGACAACCGAAGCGCAGACGTTAAATCCACCAGGCCTCAACCCTCTGGGTGTTGGTCCTCAGCCCCACCCCCAGCACCCAGGCCCAGCTCGGCGTGGGCGGGGCCTCCCGTCGCTCCCGTGGGCCGGTCCCACGCCGGGGCAGGCGGGGCCCGGCCTCTGGAGGCTCCCGCCTGCCCTGCCCTCCGCCGGTGTCCCGGGAGCCCCAGGCCCGAGCCACGCGCTCTGCTGGCTCGGCCGCCGAGGCCGGCGGGGCGCGATGGCTACGTGGAGGCGGGACAGCCGGCTGACCGGCAGCCAACGGCTGCTGTGCGCCGGGTTGGCGGGGGCGCTCAGCCTCAGCCTCACCGCGCCCCTAGAGCTTGCCGCCGTGCTGGCCCAGGTCGGCGCCATGCGCGGCCACGCCCGGGGGCCATGGGCCATCGGGCTCCAGGTGTGGCGAGCCGAGGGGCCGCGAGCCCTCTGGAAGGGGAACGGGGTGGCGTGCCTGCGCCTCTTCCCTTGCAGCGCCGTGCAGCTGGCCGCCTACCGCAAGTAAGAGCCTGGAGCTGGCGCGGGCGGGCGGGGCCAGGCGGAGCCAGGGTTCCGCAGGGGGGTTCAGCGGGCCGACGCTGCCCTGCTTCCTAGGGCGGGGCCCTTTAGTGGGGCACAGCACCCTTCAGGATCACGTGGGAGCCCCTCGGAGCAGTTTGGCCCCCAAAGTGCAGTCCCAAGGTTTTGCAACTTTTATTGGGATTTCGGCTACTAACCGAAAGGTCGGCGATTGGAACTCATCAGCGGCTCCGCGGGAAGAAGATGTGGCAGTCTGCTTCCGTAAAGATTCCAAAACCAGACCAAACCAAACCAAACCCGTTGCCTTGGGGTGGATTCTGACTCTAAGCGACCCTATACGACGGAGTAGAACAGTCCCATACGGTTTCCAAGGCTATAAATCTTTACAAGAGGACTGCCCATCTTCCTCCTGCGGAGTGACTGGTGGGTTCCAACCGCCGAGTGCTTTAACTACTGCGCCACCTGGGCTTCTGTTCCGTAAAGATTACAGCCTTGGAAACCCTACGGGGCAGTTGTGCTCTGTCCTATAGGGTCGCTATAAGTCAGAATGAAATTTGGGTTTTTTTGTTTAGGTGTGCAGTTTGAAGGAGCCTTGGTGGTGCAATGGTTAAGCGCTCGGTGGCTAACCGAGGTTTGAACCCACCCACTGGGGCCCCTCGGGAGAAAGACCTGGCGGTCTACTCCCCAGACGAGTACAGCCTAGAAAACCTTGTGGGGCAGGTCTACTCTGTCAAGTGGGGGTCGCTATGAGTCGAAAATCGACTTGACGGCACCTAACAACAACAGGTGCAGTTTTTGCGGAAAGCAGCCCTGGCCCGGAGAGGCTTACCGACTGGACAGGCTAAAAGATGGAATGAGGGGAAAAGAGAGACAAGCTCTCCGGAGAGATGGCTCCTAACCATTCCCATCTTCCACCAATTTGAAAACAAATGTGCTTTGGTGGGCTTAGGAGGAAAGAGACCCCTATGACGTTGTGTGTATGTGTCTGGATGACCAAAGGCACCAGAAGGAAATGCTTGGTAGGGGGAGAGGGCCCAATCCCTTGGCACAAAAAGGCCACAAGTCTCTACCCCCCCCCCAAAATAACCAAAACCAAACCAGTTATCATGGAGTCGATTCCAACTCATGGCGACCCCATGTGGGTCAGAGTAGAAATGCGCTCCATAGGATTTTCAATGCCTGATTTTTCGGAAGTAGGATCACCAGGCCTTTCTTCTGAGGTGTGCTTAACTGTTTGCGCCACCTAGGGACTCCTCTTTACCCTCCACCACCACCTAAATGAAGCTTGACTTTGGGGTCCGATGGGCTGCAGCTTCCCTCCCCCAAGCTGCAAACAGTCCGCTCAGTTTACTGCCTCACCCCTAACTGCCCACTGGCTACATTCTTAGGAAGATTATCTAAAGATGTAAATGTGGTATGAGCCTTAATAAAGCTTCTCTCAGAGCTCAGAGGCATTTGCATTTTAACTGGAAACAAAGCCTAAAAAAATGAAAGCATAGCGAAGGAATTTAATTTCAGGAAGAGGAGACTTTTTTCTATGCTCGGAGGGATGGTCCCCGTGTTCCTCTTGCAGTGGGCACAGTGCCAACTCTGAAGACTGGCCTTGGTTCTGAATTAGGCAAAACAGCTCAGGGTCGGGAGAACTAGTCTTAACAGTCAAAGGATTCTTCCTTTACACTTCTAGCTGGAACGCCCATTTGGCAGCTGACAAGCCCAATGGGATCATCTTCATGACTGACTCCTCTAGGCCAGCACTATGCCTGAGAGTAGTTACCTTTCCTTCCTCTGGGTGGGGAAGGCAATAATGGAATTTCTCTCAAGCCTGTCTTCCCTCTCCACCCCACCTTGCCCTCAGCAACATCTGTCTGCAATCTGTAAACACTTCTCAGAGTTTTAATGACTCACTTGTTCTCCACTTCACCCTCTTCTCCACGAAACCAAACCAATTGCCTTCCAGTCTATTCCGACTCATGGAGAGCTCATGGATTTTCACAGCTGTGACCTTTCAGAAGCAGATCGCCAGGCCTGTCTTCTGAGGCACTTCTGAGTGGATTTGACCCGCCATCCTTTCGGTTTATAGTCAAGCACTTAACCCTTTGCACCACCCAGGGACTCCTCCACAAAGTGGTATGGAAATCTTCCTTTGGATAGGATATAATATGTATCAGGGTAGGGGAGGCAGCACTTTAAGACTGATTTAAGTATTATAGTTTTTCTGTTAACCGTCTTGTGTGTGTGTGTGTGTGTATGTATGTATAGTTAGGTGCCCTCAAGTTGGTTCTGACTCATAGCGACCCTATAAGACAGAGTAGAACAGCTCCTTAGGGTTTCCAAGGAATGACTGGTGGATTTGAATTGCTAACCTTTTAGTTAGCAGCCAAGCTCTTAACCACTACACCACCAGGGCTCCTGCACTGTCCCCATGATTGGTTGTGGATTGGACTGTTATGGTCTATAGGGTTTTCATTGGCTAATTTTTGGAAGTAGATAGCCAGGCCTTTCTTCCTAGTCCATCTTAGTCTAGAAGCTCCACTGAAACCTGTTCAACATCACAGCACTACAGAAGCCTCGACTGACAGACGGGTGGTGACTGCTCGTGAGGTGCACTGGCCACAAATGTACCTCGTATATATACATCATTGGATTGTTACAGCACTTGCCTCCTGCCTTGTAAGGCGCATGGACCAGGAAGCATTGTTATTATTCCCATTTTACAGATGCAGAATTGGGCTCAGACTGGTCACACCACTCATCTGCTCATCAGTGACAGAGCTGAGCTCCACCACCTGGCCTTCTGACTCCGAATCCCATTCTCTTTCTATTACATCACATTGCCTTTCTCTCTCCATTCCTCTGGTATTAATTTAGCAAGCCTTCATTAAGTATTCACTGTGTGCATGGTGGGAGTCCCTGTGTGGTGCAAATGGTTAATGCACTAATGCACTTGGTTGCTAACCAAAAGGTTAGAGGTTTGAGTCCACTCTGAGGTGCCTTGGAAGAAAGGCCTGGCGATCTACTTCTGAAAAACCAGCCATTGAAAACTCTATGGAACACAGTTCTACTCTGACACACACGGGGTCACTATGAGTTGGAATTGACCCTACGGCAACTGATTTTTTACTGGGATGCATGATGCTGGGGACGATGCAAAGATGAAAGGGCCATGGTCCATGTGCCCCAGGAGCTTACAGGGTAACAGAAGAATGAGACTGGTGTGCCCATAACCCTAACACACAAGGCCAAATGTGATTGTCGTGGATAAAGTGTTGCAGAAACTTACCCTCCTGATGAGGGATGAGGAGGGGGGCGGGGTGCAAAGACTTCACCACCACGACCAGTTGCTGTCGAGTGGATTCCGACTCACGGCGACCTCGTGTGTTTCAGAGTAGAACGCCCTCTACAGGGTTTTCATGGCTGTCTTAGTTATCTAGTACTGCTGTAACAGAAATACCACAAGTGAGTGGCTTTAACAGCAATGTATTTTCTCACAGTTGAGGAGGCTAGACATTCAAATTCAGGGTGCCGGCTCTAGGGAAAGGCTTTTCTCTCTGTGTTGGCCCTTGGGGGAGGTCCTTGCCTCTTCAGCTTCTATTCCTTGGATCCTTGGTGATCTTCATGTGGTATGGTGTCTAGTTTCCCCCATCTCTGCTTGCTTCTCTGTCCTAATCTACTCTTTTTGTATCTCAGAGTTATCAAATGAAAAACCCATTGCCGTCAAGTCAATTCTGACTCCTAGCGACCCTTTAGGACAGAGTAGAACTGCCCCATAGGGTTTCCAAGGAGTGGCTGGGGGATTTGAACTGCCGACCTTTGGGTTAGCAGTTGAGCTCTTAACCACTGCACCACCAGGGCTCTGTCTCAAAGGTGACTGGCTTAAAACACACCCTACACTGATATGGCCTCTTAAGAAAGGAAACTCTTTCCCCAATAGAATTATAACCACGGTTATAGGGGTTAAGATTCACAACACATATTTTGTGGGAGACACAATTCAATCCATAACAATGGTTGTGACCATTCAGAAGCAGACCACCGGGCCTTTCTTCCGAGGCACCTCTGGGTGGATTTAGAACCTCCAACCTTTCAGCCCAGTGCTTAACCATTTGTAACACCCAGAAGACTTCACAGAGGAGAAAAAATATTTGAGTTTGGCCTGGGAAGAATGAGTAGGCGTTTGCTGGGTAAAGATGGGGAGAGATTGCAGTTACATACTAAGCAAAGGCGCAGAGGCGGGCCCGCTTTCGGGATGACTGGAGCATAAAGTGTGTCTACGGTAGAGTGGGTAACACAGCCAGAAAAGCAGGTTGGCATGGGATCTTGGAGAGCCGAGTTAAGGAGTTTGAACTTTACTTGGTATGCAAGGTAACTGTGGGAGATTTTTGAGCCGGGGAGTGTGGGTGATCAAAGCAATTCAACAGGAATTATTGTCACCTGGTGGCAGGGTAGGATGACTAGAGAGAAGGAAGACTGGGGGTGGCAAGACCAGTTAGGAACCTGTTGCACTAGTCCATGTGGCAGCTGAGGATGCCTGAAGTAGGGTGGTGACAATGGGAGGGGAGAAGAGAAGATGGGTGGGAAAGCAAGGACAGATAGTTACCCAGGCTAGGTTAACTAATAATTTTTTCCTGCAAGATCTTTTTTTCTTTTCCCAGAAACTAAAAGGACATATTTTGGTGGATGACAAGGCATAGTTGGAGCCCTGGTGGCACAGTGGTTAAGAGCTACAGCTGCTAACCAAAAGGTTGGCAGTTCGAATCCACCAGCAGCTCCTAGGAAATCCTATAGGGCAGCTCTAGTCTGTCCTGTAGGGTCGCTATGAATCAGAATTAACTCGACAGCAACAGTTTTGGTCTTTGGTTTGGGGTAAGGCATAGTTAGACAGAAAGCAAAGTGGTTGGTTAATCACAGTGCCATCTTTCCTACATAAAGATGACACCTTTGGTCCATCATTACGCTGATTCATTCCTACTCTTTCCTGACTGTGAATTTGCAAAACAGTTGGCTGGAGTTACTGATACAGCCAGTGGTCATGGATTTGAACACAGCATAAACATCCAGAATGTTCAGGGATTGGAGTAGGTAAGTGACTTGTCTGCAAACACAATTAGTGGCAATGCTGGGGCTTGAAACCAGATCTTTTGGCTTCCCACTCCAGGGTTTTGTCCCGGGGTTTGAACCAGAACGAACCAGTTCATTCTGGTCCAAACCCCTGCTGAGAATTTGCATTTCCACTCCAGAGATACTGAATCAGAATCTACATTTTTTGAAAATAATTTTACTGTGTTGTCGGTGAAGGTTCACACAGCAAATTAGGTTTCCATTTGACAGTTTCTATACACGTTGTTCAGTGATATTAGTTACATTTTTCACAGCATGTCGCCATTCTCTTTAATTGCTTTCTGCTTGTTCTATTTTGAGGACTCTAGTTGCCCTCCTCCCTTCTCATCTTTGCTTTAGAGTAATTGTTGAGCTTTTAATCTTATATAGATTTTTTTATAATTTTTTTATTGTACTTTAGATGGAGGTTTACAGAACAATCTAGCTTCTCATTAAACAGTACACATATTGTTTTATGACATTGGTTACCAACCCAACGACATGTCAACACTCTCCCCTTCTCGACTTGGGTTCCCTATTACCAGCTTTCCTGTCCCCTCCTGCCTTCTAGTCCTTGCCCCAGGCTGGTGTGCCCCTTTAGTCTCATTTTGTTTTATGGGCCTGTCTAGTCTTTGGCTGAAGGGTGAACTTCAGGAGTGACTTCAGTACTGAGTTAAAAAGGTGTCTGGGGGCCATATTCTTGGGGTTTCTCCAGTCTCTGTCAGACCAGTAAGTCTGGTCTTTTTTTTTTTTTTTGAGCTAGGGTTTTGTTCTACATTTTTCTCCAGCTCTGTCCAGGACCGTCTATTGTGATTACTGTCAGAGCAGTCAGTGGTGGTAGCCGGGCACCATCTAGTTGTGCTGGACTCAGTCTGGCGGAGGCTGTGGTAGTTGTGGTCCAATAGTCCTTTGGACTAATCTTTCCCTTGTGTCTTTGGAGTTCTTCATTCTCCCTTGCTCCCGACAGTGTGAGACCAGTTAGAGTATCTTAGATGGCTGCTCACAAGCTTTTAAGACCCCAGACGCTACTCACCAAAGTAGGATGTAGAACATTTTCTTTATAAACTATGTTATGCCAATTGAGCTAGATGTCCCCTGAGACCATGGTCCCTACAGCCCTCAGCCCAGTAATTTGGTCCCTCAGAGAGCTTGAAGCAGATCTTCTGGCTTCCTACTCCAGGGTTCTGTCCAGAGGTTTGAACTGGAACAAACCGGTCCAAACCCCTGCTGAGAATTTGCATTTCCACCCCAGAGATACTGAATCAGAATCTACAGTTTAACAAGATCCCCAGGTGATTCTTCTGTATAATAACTTTTGAGAACCACTGCTCTACTGTGGTTCTCAGAATTGGTCCCTAACCAGCAGTACTAGCATCGCCTGGGAACTTGTTAGAAATGCAAATTTTCAGCGGGGGTTCAAACTGGAACTAACGGGTTCAAAGCCCTGGTTCCGTGAACCATTTCACAGCTGAAATATCTGCTCCAACTTAAGGACAACTCTAACTCTTACTTGCCCTTTAATGTTATGTAAATTTGCCCTCATTCTGAAACAATTGTACTTGCAACAGATTCTTCATCACAGTGGCCTTCACTTGCTGCACGTGAAGCTTTTAGATCATTGAAAAGACGTCGAGCCTTTTCTTGCCCTAAAACGCATTGCCGTTGAGTCGATTCTGACTCATAGTGACCCAATAGGGCAGAGTAGAAATGCCCCATAAGGTTTCCAAGGAGCAGCTGGTGGTTTCAAACTGCTGACCTTTTGGTTAGCAGCCGAACTCTTAACCACTATGCCACCAGGGCTTCTTTGCTTGCACTAAAGTAAGGCTCAATAAGAACCGTATGCACTTATCCTGACTTACCTACAAATTTGACTTAGAGACACACTTAGGAATGGATCTTGTTTATACCCTGGGGACTGCGTGCACTTACATTTAAGATCAAGAGTTTACTCAGGAGAGCCTATGAGGAAGTAGGTTCTTGTAATAAATGAATAATACCTTATGGATGGTTTTCAAATGCATCAAATAGTAGATACCCTACAACTTGACTCCACAACTGATTGTCACCTCAAGCGCAGCCACCGCTTGTCTGTCAGTGGAAGTTTGGGTACTGCTATGATGCTGAACAGGTTTCAGTGGAGCTTCCAGACTAAGACAGACTAGGAAGAAAGGCCTGGTGATCTACGTCTGAAAATCAGCTAATGAAAACCCTACTGATCACAAAGGTCTGATCCTGCTTACACAATTTATCCATTCCCCTATTAATGTTAGGTTGTTTGAGTTTTTTCACACTTACAGTGTTGCAGTTAACGTCCTTGTATATGTCTTCCTATGATCATGTACAAGAATTTCTCTAGGGTGTGCACCTAGAAATGGAATTTCTGAGTGACAGTAGGTGCCTTTTCAGTTTTACTAGATACTGCAAAGTAGCCATACCAATTTGCACTTGAACCAGCAGTGGATGAGAGTTCCTGTTTCCACACATGCTCACCATTACGTGGTATCATCAGACTTTGTCATCTTTGCCAGTCTGCTGGGTGGGCCATGGTATCTTGTTATTGTTTTGACTTGTCATTTCCCTGATAACTAGTGAGGCAGAACGTCTTCTCTTACAGTCATTAAACCAATATATTTTAAACATCTAAATGAGTAAGGATGCTGAGAATCATTAATTCAAACAATTTTATTCCTTTCAAGTTTCAACAGAAGTGAAGGTGTACATTCCAGTTCAGTGTTTGCCAAGTACTCCTATATATTTACTCCTCACAGCCAAGCCAGAGTTGAAAGTTATGCAGATAAAAAGAGAAAGGGCTAAAACTGAAGTGGGAAAGATTTAAGGTAAATATAAAAAAGAAGATTGGGCATCTCTTCCTATAGCTAACTAAAACCAAAGAAAAACCAAACCTGTTACCATCGAGTTGATTCTGACTCATGGTGACCCCGTGCGTGTCAGAGTAGAACTGAGCTCCATAGAGTTTTCTTGGCTGTAGTCTTTACAGAAGCAGGTCACCAGGCCTTTCTGCTGTGGCAGTGCTGGGTGGGTTTGAACCACTCACCTTTTGTTTAGTAGATGAGCGCAAACTGCTTGCACCATCCAGGGACCTTATAGCTAACTAGCGTTATATAAATATAGTAGAATTAAATCTGTTATTCATTAATCCTAATACGTTAGTGTAATAATTTTCACTTTGTAAAATACCTTGAAATACTGGGAAATGTTGCAAGAAGCAGTGTAGAACACTCTAGCACAATCCATAACTGATTCCCTTGAACTTTTCCCCTTTTCTCCCAGGTTTGTCATACTGTTCACAGACGACTTGGGCCATATTTCCCAGTGGAGCTCCGTCATGGCTGGGAGTCTTGCAGGCATGGTGTCCACCATTGCGACATATCCTACAGACCTCATCAAAACCCGGTTGATTGTGCAGAACATGCTGGAACCATCTTATAAAGGCATCCTCCATGCTTTTTCTACTATTTATCAACAGGAAGGGTTCCTGGCCCTTTATCGAGGGGTTTCCCTCACTGTTTTAGGTAAGATGGAACTTCTCACCTTGTCCAAGAAAAGGCTGTGTTCCTTAATATATATGAATATGTTATATAGCTTTGTGACCAGTTAAATCGGTTTACTGACGTCAAGGTTGTATGGATTCAATCTACGTAGAGCCAGTTAGCTTCAGTCTGTTCTGTAACCATACACCTCACTCCTAACTTTCACCAGTCACAGCCCAGAGAGGGGAGTAGGGCAGAGAGTGGAGGCGGCTTAGCACAAACTGGTAAGAAAATGAACCTAAACACTCCCTATCTGATTACAGGAAGACGTCTTCAGTGTGTGTGTGTGTGTGTCCCTTTGTCAGGGCTATATACACAGGTCACCAGGGACCCTCTAATTGCCAAATCCAGTAGACATCCAGTCCTTTATCTGATCTTCGTTGCAGCATTTGATAAGATTGATCACCCCTTCTTATGGAAACTTCTAGGACCCCACCATCTCTTGGATGTCTTCCCACCCCTCTGGCAGCTCTTTCTTATCTGACTACTGTGGCTCATCTAGTTCATCTAATGCTGCCAGCCCCCTTCATATTGTCCTGAGCTCCTTCCTTAGCTTTCTTCTCACCCTCTGTACCCTTCCTAGGTGGCCACACCTAAGCTCATGGCTTAAACAAGCATCAGTATACTCTGATGACCCCCAATCTCCCTCTCTATAATAACAATGACTAACATTTATTGGGTGCTTACTACATGCCAGGTACTTTGCTAAATGCTTTGTAAAAAATCCCATTTAAGCCTCATTTTACAGATGAAGAAATAGATGCTTAGGGAAGCTAAATGACTTGCCCAAGGTTACAGAGATAGAGAGTGGAAGAACCTAGGAATATAACTCCACAGCCCTCTCTCTTAACCATTGACATACCAGTTTCCAATAGTAATGTAAATATCTATCTGCTATTGGACACCTTCATTGCCAGTTGCCATGGAGTTGATTCAGACTTATGGCGACCCCATGTCTGTGTCAGAGCACAACTGCGTTCCATAGGGTTTGCAGTGGCTAATTTTTCAGAAGTAGATCGCCAGGCCTTTCTTCCGAGGTACCTCTGGATGGACTCCAATCTCCAACCTTTTGGTTAGCAGCCAAGCACATTAACCGTTTATACCACTCAAGTTCAAATTCCAGACTAAACCCGATGTCCTTGTTTGTCTCAAACCTGCTCTTCCTCCTGTATTCCCTAGTGAATGATACCACCTTCCTTTCACCCAGTGGCTCAAGCCAGAAGAAACCCAGGAATCACTTCAACTCTTGCTCCCACTCCATTCTCACTTCATACGATCAAGTCCTGTCAATTTGACCTCTTTTAGCTCTCAAGTCTGTCCTCACCTCTGCATCCCCATCCCCTCTGCCTTAGGCCACGCTCCCATCATCTTTCCCCCAGACTCTTGTGAGAGGCTCTACCTGGTCCCAGTCTTGAGTCTCTTCTGCTCCAGTCTGCCCTGTACACTGCTACCAGCATGAGGTGATCTTTCTAAACACAGTTTGGTCATTTCACCATCCTCATTTCATTGTCCTCCTTAAAAGCCTCCAGTGACTCCTGAGCTACAGGTAAAAGCCCAAATTCCTTATGGTATTGCAGATCCTTCAGACCTGTCCCCTGCCAACCTGTCCTGCCTCATTTCTTGGAAGTACTACTCCCTTCCGTAACCGCACACCTTTGTACATACTGATCTTGCCACCAGGAATGCCTTTCCACTCTCTTGGTGTCTAATGAACTCCTACTCATTCCTCAGGACCCAGTTCAGAAGCTCTCTGTTCCACGAAGTCCTTCCTGATTCCCCCAGGCAAAGTTAATCACTCTTCTCCTGTACCTAAAGCACTTTATATAGCCCCCTATTATGGTATATATCAGGGATACTAGATTTGTTTTCCCTGGCTGTCACCTCCACTGGATAGTAAACATTTCCAGGACAGCAATTAGCCTACTTCTGTTTGTATTCCCAGCACCTGGCATAGGGCCCAGCACATAGCAAAAGCTCCACAAATGTTTTCTGAATGTAGGTAAATTGGTGGGGGGGGGGGTGCGTGTTGAAGAGTCATTTTTAATAAATGTTTATTAAATAAATATTAATTTTTCCAAAGCTAAGCAGCTCCCTTGTGTCATCCCTTCTTTTAAATCTCATTTTGAAGGAGAAATTGAGTCTCTCTGTAAACTTGAGATGGCTTCCAGAGTTTCTGGAAGTTTGTGAAAGTACCACCTACTGTACTACATGGTTCACCATCTTTTCCTAGAAATGGGATGATGCTGCACACAGTAGAAGGTCCACTGAGCCCTGATATGACTATGTCATTACCAAAGGTGAGGTCAGGTAACCTCCCTCAGCGCCGAGAGCCTCTTAACTTTCCATTTTTCACAGAATGCTTCCTGCCCAGCTAGAGACCACTCCCGCCTAGCCTCCAAAACTTGATTAGGTGCTGCCCGCTAAGCTTTGGGTTTTTTGTGTATATGTGAGTGATTTTTGTTTTCAACATTTTATTCTCTTTATTAATTTCAAACATACAGGAAAGTTGAGAGAATTGTAAACACCCACATACCCACCACTTGGATCCTACAATGAACATTTGGCTATATTTGCTTTGTCACCTACTTATCCATTAGTTCTCTCCTCTAGCCATTCATTGTTGTCGTTAACTGCCATTGAGACAGCCCCCGACTCATGGTGACCCCATGTACAATGGAATGAAACCCTGCCTGCTCCTGCACCATCCCCGTGATCAGTTGTGGATCAGACCTTTGTGATCCATAGGGGTTTCATTGGCTGATTTTTGGAAGTAGATTGCCAGACCTTTCTTCTTAGTCTGTCTTAGTCTGGAGGCTCTGCTGAAACCTGTTCGGCGTCATAGCAACACACAAGCCTCCAGTGACGGGTGGTGGCTGCGCATAAGGTGCATTGGCCAGGAATTGAACCTGGGTCTCACACATGGAAGGCGAGAATCCTACCTGAACCACCAATGGCCCGGCCATTCATTAGTCCATTTTATTTGTTTGATGATTTCAGTGTAAGCTACAAACCTCAGTACACTTTACCCCTACACCCTTCAGCATGTATATCGTCAGCTAGATTGTAACATTTGTGTATGGTTATTTTTTTAAGTAAAACTTACATACAGTACAATGCACAAATCTTCAGTGAACCATTTTGATGCATTCTGACAAATGACACAAATCCCTATCAAAATATAGAGCATTATCATCACCCAGGGAAGTTCGCTTGTGTTCATTCAGTTGGAGTGAGTTTAATAAGCCCAAGGCCCCTCCTGTTTACTTTCCCTGGATTCCCCCACAGACTTTTATGTTCTCCAGACATGGGCAGCCTCTTCCTGGCCTTGTTTTGCAGGTGCTCTTCCATTCTCTGCTGGCTCCCTTCTCGTTTACATGAACCTAGAGAAAATCTGGAATGGACCTCGAGATCGGTTCTCTCTCCTCCAGAACTTTGCCAATGTCTGTCTGGCTGCTGCAGTGACCCAGACCCTCTCCTTTCCCTTTGACACAGTAAAGAGAAAGATGCAGGTGAGGAGTTGGGAAGGGGGGACATGAAGCTTTTGTGGGTGGGTAGCAAGTACAAAGGACTCTGACCTTGAGTGATGCCAGGCTTCCAAGGAGATCAAGACTGCTCATACAAATACTGTGCAAACTGCTACCTCGCACTTTCTGCTGCTAACCTCAAACCTATGGGCTCTAGCCCAAGCTGCCCCCCACTCCCGTACTGTTTTCTGTCTTTTATCAACACTCTAGATGAGGGCCACTTTTCTTCCTCTAATATAATGCGGCCCCACCACCCATTACATGTGGTTCTCCTTCCCCCAAGACCAACAGGAAGTAGAAAGAGCCTCCTCGCTTTCGCTCCCCTTGCTGCCTCTACAGCTGCTTCTTACCTCAGTGAAACAGACAGGGGAGATGGAAAATAAGCCGGGAACTAGAGTTATCAGAAGGAGCCCTAAAAAAAGAAAAAAGGAGCCCTGGTAGCGCAACAGTTAAGCACTTGGCTGCTAACCAAAAGGTCAGCAGTTTGAACCCACCCAGCAGCTCCCCAGGAGAAAAGACCTGGTGATCTGTCCCTGTAAAGATTAAAATAAACCCACTGCCCTCAAGTCAATTCCAACTCATAGTGACCCTGTAGGACAGAGTAGAACTGCCCCATAGGGTTTCCAAGGCTGTAAATCTTTACAGAAGCAGACTGCCACATCTTTCTGCCACAGAGCAGCTGGTGGGTTCGAACCACCCCAACCTTTCTATTAGCCACCAGGGCTCCTTATAAAAATTACAGCCTCAGGAAACCCTATGGGGCAGTTCTCTGTCATATAGGGTCACTATGAGTCAGAATTGACTCGACGGCATAAGGCAACAACAGCATAAATGCCAGGGGTTCAGTAGTCCCTGAATCCTTTACTGAGAAAGTAACTAGCATTTGAAATGGGTCACTGTGGGATTGGGCATGCGTTTCCCTAATCATTACCTAAAAAATCTTCCATTTTCTCTACAGACCATGGAGACAAAAGCATGGTATCAGAGGCTTCAAAGTGAATAATCGGCTTAGCCTAGAATAAGCCAATTTTGAGAAAAGAAAAATCAGATTGATTTCAAATAAGGTTGAGGGGTTACAGCCACATCTGTACAGTAGAGGTAGGCTCAGAATCCAAACAGCCTTGCTTTGTCCCTTAACCTGCTCACTCTCTCCTCGCCTCCCTTAAAACTACACTTCCACAGGCTTGCTTGCCTCCTTGGCCTCTTCTGAGGAAATCCTGATTTAGACAATCAGTAAATTGTTTTCTACAATAGATAAATCTTGATTTATACAATCGATAAACTGCCACATCTTTCTCCCGATGAGCAGCTGGTGGGTTCGAATCACTGACCTTTCAATTAGCAGCTGAGCGCTTAACCACTGCACCACCAAGGCTCTTAGAGCCTGCTTAGTGTATGCTTATTTATAAAAACCATTATTTCTGATTTTAAAAGTAATGCACATTAATTGTAGAAAATTTGGGAAATACAGAAAAGTACAAAAAAGAAAAGAATTACCCATAAGGCCAACACCCATGGATTATAGTGATCAATAGTTTTTCTTCTATGTATGTATGTGTATAAATATAAATATATACAGTAAAACCTTCAAAAGCCGGAACCTATGTAAGGCAGAAACCTGTCAGAGAAAGAAAACGAAAATATTTTCTACTAATAGAGAGCAGTAGAAAAGTGGTAAGCCTGCATGCACCCTGTCAGAGGCGGAAAACTTGCGGGACCCGGTAAAATAAGGCAGTCCATTTGAGTTCTGGTTCTCACAGGTTTCGCTATATATAATACATGTATATGTAAGGTTATTCTTTTACAAAATTTTGTTCATACTATATATAAAAATTAAGGAGCCCTAGTGACGCAGTGGTTAAGGTGCTCGACTGTGAACCGATAGGTCAGAGGTTCGAAACCACCAGTGGCTCCACGGGAGAAAGATATGGCAGTCTGCTTCCGTAGAGATTTACAGCCTTGGAAACCCTGTGGGGTCGCTGTGAGTCGGAATCAACTTGATGGCAGTGGGAATAAATAAAAATTAGTATCTTGCTTTAGGTTTCCCTTTTTTTGGATATTTAGGCTGTTTCTAATTATCTAGTATAATGACATTACAAAGAAAACTCATATTTTTTCACATCTGTGATGATACCCTTAGGCTATTTCTAGAAATTGACTTGGGTCACAAGATAGGAGTAATTCCAAGGCTCTTAATGAAAGTTGCACTCCAGAAAGGTGCACTCCAGAAACAGTTTACACCCCCACCAGCAGTAAGTGAGAGCGGTTCAATTCCTAGACTCCACCCAACATTAATTATTGTCACTTTTTAAAATCATTGTGAACCTAATCGCTGAAAAATGGTATCATGTTGTTTTAATTTGAATTTCATTGATTATAAGTGGAGTTGCACAGTTTCCATACATCAATTGCCTATTTAGCTTTTTTTATTGATTGGTAAGAAGTCTATGTTTAAGAATATTAACCCTTTGCCATAGATTTAGATAGGTAGATAGATACTGTCGCGTCAGCTCTGACTCATGTGACCTTATGTACAACAGAACGAAATGTTGTCTGGTCCTGTATCATCCTCATAATTGCCAGCATGTTTGAGTCCATCATTGTGGCTATTGTGCCAATCCATCTCACACCGAGGGTCTCTTTTGCCCTTATTGGCCCTCTGCTTCACCAAACATGATATCTTCCTCAACAATAAATCCCTCCTGATGACATGTCCAAAGCAAGCGAGTTGGATAATGTTCTCTTGTGATCCACAAGATTTGGCTTGGTTAATTTTCAGAAGTAGATCACCAGGCCTTTCTTCCTTTGTCATACATTGCACATATATTTTTCACAGCTTGACATTGGCTTCTAATGCTGTTTATGTGTTGTTGTTGTACGTATGTTTTAAATCTTTATGCAATTATATCTATTACTGTATTTTTGTTTCTAAACTTTGCTTTTCCGCTTAGAAGGCCTTCATATCCCACAATCATATGAATATTTACTTATGTGTTCTTTTAATACTTTTCTGTTATAATTTTTACATTTAACCGTTTAATACGTTTAGAATTTATCTTGAGTTATGATGTCAGGTAATGATCTAGCTATTTAAAAAGTAGTTTACCAGCTATTCAGGCACCATTTTTTGAATAATCTTTCTTTTCCCCACTACTTTGTGATGCAACTTTTACCACATACTAAATGTTCAGATATTCTTGGGTCTGTCTCTGGGCTGTGTGTTCTGTCCTGTTGATCTGTCAGTCTGTTGTTAAGTCAGTACCACACTATTTCAATTATTATAGTTTTATAATACATTTTAATATCTGATCGGGCATACCTCCTCATTGGTCTTCTTTACAACATTTCCTTGATTATTGACTATTTTCATTTCCATTGATTATTGATTATTATTCTCATTATTTTCTTGATTATTGAACATTTCCTTGATTATTCTCATTCTTCTTGATTAAGTTTAGAATTACCTTCTGATTTTGATTAGAATTGTGTTAAACCTAAAAAATTGGAATAATTTTATATAAAATATTCAGTCTTTTATTCAGGAATATATCTCTGCTTTCATTTTAGTCTTCATGCATTAGGTTGAACCATAGGAAATTGCCGATATTTGGCCTTTTTAACATACACAAATGAAAATTTCATGTTTCAGCTCTTAGAAAAGTTGTTTTCTTCATATAATAATTATACTCTTTCTCAAAAAGATAGCTTCTTTTTTAAAAAAAAAAAGGGAGTGGGTGGAGTGGGAAGGACGAATGGTATACTACAAGGGTATTATTCATTTATTTAAAATCCTGGCCCCAAGAATCACTCTTACTGTCAGCAATGAGAACAGGTTCTCACTAGTTGCTCATCAGAAGATGCATGAAACAAAGGATATCAGTGACCCATGCTTTGAGGATCACTTTTTGAAATAGTGGAGCCAGGCATCTCTCCAGCACTTTCTACCACCTCTTATAATTTAGTTTGAGGTATGGTTAGCTCAGCTTACTGCCCATAGCCAAAAACCAAACCCATTGCCATTGAGTCAATTCCGACTCATAGCAACCCTATAGGACAGAGTAGAACTGCCCCATAGGGTTTCCAAGCTGTAATCTTTACAGAAGCACACTGCCACATCTTTCTCCCCCAAAGCGGCTGGTGGGTTTGAGCCACCAGCTTTTCGGTTAGCAGTCGAGCGCCTAATCACCACACCACCAGAGCTCCTTCTGCCTATAACCAGCCCACCGAAACCAAACCCACTGCCGTTGAGTTGATTCCAACTCATAGCGATCCCATAGGGTTTCCAAGGCTGTAAATCTCTACAGAAGCAGACTGCCACATCTTTCTCATGAGGAGACGTTGGGGGGTTAAAACCACTGACCTTTTGGTTAGCAGCTGAGCGCTTAACTACTGCACCACCAGAGCTCCTTCTGCCCATAGCACGCCCGTCCAAAACGAGGGCTTTGAGCTGTGGGGGGAGGAAAGTCAATGCGGAAGAGTTTCAGGCAAAGCTCAGTGACATCTAAATGTGGGGGAGGGGTTTCAGTCTTCCTTCCAAATAAACTTTAAGCTTTCCTTTCTCCACCTGGGAGCTAGAACAGTGACCTCCTCTGGGACAATCTAGCCAATACCACATTCTACACTAGAATATATCCTTACCACAATAACCCCCTATAAACTGGAGGAAGGTACACTGTTGTTAGTTGCTGTTGCGTTGATTCTGACTGATAGCGACCCCATGCGACAGAGTAGAACTGCTGCATAGGGCTTCCTAGGCTGTAATCTTTACGAGCAGATTTCCAGATCTTTCTCCCACAGAGCCACTGGGTGGGTTCAAGCTGCCGACCTTTCAGTTTGCAGCCGAGTGCTTAACCATTGCGCCACCAGGGCTCTTACTAGAAGTGGATATTTAGGGATAATATTGATAATATTTTCTCATGTACGGGAGCCTTCTAGATACCGCATACACAGAGCTTTGAGAAAACTTTCAAATAAATGCAAAGTCA